CGGTGTCCCCTCCCTTCGAAAAAGCTCATCTCCTGGCTCGCATAGTGTTTTTCTACCTCACGATGCCTTAGCTGTAGCAGTCCCTTATTGCTCTGCGCTCTGGCCTATCGTGGCAGGACCCCCACCAAAAGTTCTTAGTTGTCACGTAACCCAACGGTAAGAATGAATGTCATATTCTTAATCCGTATGCCAAATAATCCCCGTCAAATGTAAAAGTCGTCATCGAATTCGTCCATCGGGGGTATCTCGGCGTCTGTGGCGCGAACGCCAGGCAGATTTCAGGCCAAGGCGATGGGATATTCGTGTGCAGGAGGTGGAAATACCCCTCAAGCAGGTTTACGGCCAAATCTACCTTGAAATGTAAAGGCCAATTTCTTTCAGTTTTGACCAGCTGGACGTCGAAATGGCTTTGCAGAAGTCCAATAACGACTTGACTAAAGCTTACAATCTTTTATCGGATAATAAAGAACCTGTTCATGATGTTTTTGCTTCAGGTAATGTTTTGTTGCTGTGAGGTTACACATAATACACGATTTGACAAGTTTTTATTGTTTGTTGTTCAGCGGCTACCGAATGGAGTACAGAAGACCATGAAGCTGGCCCTTCAAGCGATATTTTCCCAACATCATCATTTAGAAATATGCGACGGGCTGTGAAAAGTGATGATTGTAGTATATTTGCTAATGAGATTTCAATTGTGCGCTGCATCGAGGTTTCGTTTTTTTTTCATTTTGTCAAAGTGTGTTCATACTTCGTTTTGGCGTTTTGGAGCAACTAGGAAAGTGTAGGTATCGATCCAGCGGATTGAGCGTTTAGAAGCGTTTTTAGCGTCAGCGTTTGGAACGTGCACTAGCGTCTTCAGTCATAGATACCCATACTTTCATAGACACATAGAACGTTGGCGGACGCTACAGATCGACGCCTATACTGCTAGTCGCTCAAAGCGCTGCCGCCAAATATTAACACACTTTTAGTGCTCTCATCTCGGAGGGTTTTGTAAATAATTGAAGGATTTCAGGCATCAAAGGGTTTGCTCATCAATAATGTATTTGATCCTGTATGTAGTGAATTTGTGGACGTTTATCTCCCAAAGTGCATCTCAATGCATGTCAATCCGCCTGAGGTAATGCATAATCTAGCTGAATCAGAAAACTTGCCACGAAGATGCTAGGATTAATTTTACTAGCGATCTTCGAGACTTGAAAGCTCGTTCTGTTTGTTGTGAAGCGTTGAAACACTTGCCTCTGATTCTTACACGGTCCATGGCGCTGTTCGGCTTGGGAGGGGCGTTTTGCAGCTTTCCTAGTTCCCTTTGCTAGCTTCTATAAATATGTACGTTACTCAAGGTACCGGTAGATTCTTGCCATGTATAAACGATGCTCCTGCAGCTTTACTAGAATTGACAGGTCTCCACAGGAAGACCTGGAACCTGGAAAATGACCCTACCAACTCGAACTGCGCACTGTTACTCATAATTGCTGGGGTGTAATCATGCGATCCTTTAATTTATTCTGTTTCTTCAGCATCTGTTCCTCAACGATGACATCCTCGGTCAAAGTGTCCATTTTTCTAAGGAAGTTGCTCAATTAATACCTATCAGGTAAAGTTTTTATGGAGAATTCTTTATTCAGCTAGAATATCGATTTTTTTTATTCAAAGTCTTATCAAACGGTGGTTGCCAATTTTTAACTAATGTATAGAACACCTTTTTCTCTACTCCCGGATTAATCCCTTGCTGCCGTTGTAGTTTTTGCGAGGAAGTCGAAGGCAAAAGGGTTGACTTTAAGGCAGTTCGCGCACGCAAGCGACTCTTAGGCGTCCTTCCAGTAGTCTGGTCCTCAATCTCCGAAATTGTCCCACTTTCGCGGTTCAACAGTAAGTTGCGAAGGCGCTGCGGACCTTATAAGTGGCTTTTCTTACGCCTCTTGTTCCCGCCCACTAAAACTCGAAAGCCATTTTCTATCTCGGAGTTTCTACACAGCGTTTTTCGTTTTTTTTTTGTTAGGTGATATTAGCATTCAATAACGCGAATAAACTGTAAGTTAGCCACAGGCGGCAGGATATTCCTCCGCTGGCATAAAGTGAACGAATCCGAACAACTCGTCCGTAGAGACTGTCACGAGGTCCCTACTTAGAGTGTTCTTCATGACTCTTTTTTGCTTTTACTTCCTTGGGGAGTCATTTAGCGACTATAACTTGTATTATAATTGAACGCCAATATCCACAATGTGCGATTTGTCTTCAAGAGATACGTTTGTAGGCGACTAATTTGTGTTCTGTGTTGCAGGTTATCGTTTTGTTGCAGGCTTATCGAAACTTGCCTGTATCAAGCTCGTTGTGCCATGCAATGACTGATCTGTTCAACCCTCGTAATAAGATGTTTTGTGCATACCGTCGTCTTTCACCTTCGGAAGTGCAGTAAGTATCCTATTGACCGAAAGGGGGATTTTTTTTTTTTAGCACCGAAGTCCAGATGGAAGAAATGCATATTGGGTAGAGGTGGTGGTGTAAGGCGACCACACGTCAGTGCCTCCATATCTCTCCCCTAACCATAGCCGAAGCTCAGAATGCGGACGAATAGAGGCGCCGACATTTAGTCCGACAGAGAAGAAATAGTCTCCACTGAGCCTAATCCTTGGCAACAGGCGATGTGGAGGATTTGTGCGAATGGTCTCCACCCCCCTCCCAACTTATGTTCAGTCTTCGAAGAAGGGCGATGCGACAGCGAACGGAATAAGCGGTGTCGTCAAAGCAGCTCCTTGTTTAGCATAAGTGCATACCTAAAAAGAGGCGCTTCGCAATGTCTGTTGTTTAGGAACCGTTCTTTCGATATCCAGGTATCTTATTGTGATATTAGAAAAACGATGAATGGGAAAGAGCACACACATAGTTTTGCTACAAGTGGGTTAAATTTGAAACTTTCATAAAAGGTTTTTCTCCTTTTACCCATCATATCAACATAGTACAGGAATTGATTGATCTCTTCGTATCGTCGTCAGGATTTTCAAATGTAAACGAACTTTTGCGAAATCATCGTGATATTTTGACACCAAAGGTAGGTTTCGTTAGTGGGAAGGGGGGTATGGCAATTCAGTTGTCCCTAGACTCTTATTTTTTATTTTCAGGACGTTTTTGTCCTGCTCTCGGCGTTAGATTGCATGCGGAATTTTCTTGATGGAGCTAAAATGCGTCACATATTGCTTTCTCTTGTGGAAGGATCGCTTGATATTATCAATGAAGCTGCCTGGGAAACAGTCAATCCGTGACTCGGTAAGCAGCGCTATGTTGTAATCACTTTATGAACTTTATTTTATATTTATTAGTTAGCTATGGCTATTGTTACAAATTTTTTTTGACATGATGTGTTTGTCGGCTTCTTCGTTACTCTCCGCACTTGCGAGCTTCTCTGCATAATCTTTTCGGCCAGGGTCGGTGAGCTTGATTCCAAGCATTCCGATCCTCTTTACTCATGGCTGATTCAAGATTATTATGCTTATTATCCTCTATTATTCCTTGAGCGAATATTCCCTTCCCCCCCCCCCCCCCTCCTTCCCGGCTAGTGTTGATATAGGCCACATCGCACTTAATAGGTCACTAACTATGAATCTAAATGGAAGTAGATTGTTATCACAAGAATGCTTGAGGTTGGTGGGCAAAAGTCATGCCCAAGCTGGAGTCGACCCGCACCTCATGCTTTTCGGGCGAGAAGTAGAATAGTTTTCGACGTTGAGTTTTTGCGAGTATTGAGAACTGGCGATCTTAGAGGAATGCGCGACTCACAAGTGAGCAGAATCTAGAATCAGCCCCATCTAGCTTATTTGGTTCGTCAATTCTGTTGAATTGAGCGGTCGGATCGTTGAGTTTTCGTGGTACTGTTGCAATGCTGTACTTGGTTTGCCAGTTCACTCGACAATTCCGATGGATTCTTCGAACCTGAAAGCACTCACGCAGCTGCCAATCCATTTTTATGGGGAAAGGATGTTTGTCTGAAGTGTAGTCTTGCAAAGTGGGTGAAGCGAACTGGAAAAAAAAACTGTGAAAATCTCATCTCTGTTCCATTTAAGCTATGTCGTACTCACATAATGGATGTGATCGATATCTGTACAAGATGGATGGAGTTCTTGAACGCAAGCACTTTTTCATGTAATCATGGTTTACTGAAATTCTTCTTACGCTGTATTACATGTAATCAACTTGATGCAAAAGTCTTCGCATTTCATGAGGGTAATTCGTACATGGATATTTTCCATTATTTGATACTTATCTGATAATTTGCGGTTCAGCTAGGGAAGTTGGCTGTGAAAACTCGGTCATGTCCAAGTGTCTTTGACATCAATTTGTTCAACTCATGGCTCAAAGAGAAATAATATTCTCAAGCATGGTAAGCTACCTTGTCTTGTCTGGCAACCTCCCATGTGGCTAGATTGATAACCACACTACCCATTGACGAGCATCATCCTGAAAAGTCGAGGCGCCTATTCTCCCATTCTCCTGCCACAAAGTATCAGCGCGGCCTAAAGAATGGTTCCTTATTCGAAACGAAAGGGCTGTATAGTTGAAAGGGTGAGGGGCATGTTGCGAGAAAAGCTCTGTCGCTAACGCACTTGGTGCACTCACTAGGCTACCTAACCGCCAAAGGTACGAAAAAGAAGAGATTGGTGTGCACTTCATTCTTGTCCTATGGAAAAGGAACGTCTTCTCCATGTGTGCTCCTTCTGGCGCTAATTTTTTCATTCGCAGTTGAGTTTCGTTCCCGACGAGCTGCGCAGTTTTTTAGCTCTCCAAGGAAATATGGATCAGCTGACCTACCTGGAGAAGATCAAGACCAATATTATCGTACATGACGTCGGAAATGTCAGCTAGTGATTTATGTAAGTGAGCGCTTTCGTGATTTTTCTTTCGCTTTCACTGTTATTTTTCTCATCCATTTTCAACGTCAAATTTTCTTTTAAGCGGGTGTTTGGTCACTGCGGAAGGGTAGAATGGGAGTGTCAGCTGATAACTTCTCCACGATTCTTGTTCAAATTGGGAAAGGTCTCAATTGCGAGCAGATTGGCTGGCTGGAACAGTTGTTTATTAAGGTAAATATGTTCATTTCTGACGTACAGTCGTTGTCCGTGAAGTCAGTGGGGAAGTGTCAGCGCTCCATGGGTTTTAGCGCGGCTCCAGCTCATTTTTCCATCGATCGTTGCGGCTTCGGGCATTCAGTGAAGGGTGGGAAAAGGGCTGATAGCGCGCTAAAACTCACGCAACGCTGACACGCCCCGAACAACTTCGACAATGACCGCTGTATAACATAACTCCCAATGGTCACACGATTTTCAGTGCTTTCACGC